AGAGAATTGCTTTTCTGGATTCAAAAGATCTATACACACTCTAGAGAATCTCAGAAAATGAATTCTCACCTTATGTACCACACAGGTACATAAGGAAACTCTCATGATGGTGAGTAGTTGGCATTTATTTTTGTTGTCGTTATTTATGTTCAGTCTCCTACACTCACTGTAATCGTTCATGGATCCTAGATTATTTCTGCAAGGCTGTGAGCATGCTTTACCTGGTCCATGCCTACTCATAGTTTCAGCTTCAACTAGGGCACCCCCTTGCTGATCCCATATCCTGGCAAGGTTAGGTGTCTCCTCTGGGCTCCTCTAGTGCCCTGGACTTTCCATAAAATTTACTTACTTGGCATGTTTATTGCTTATTTTCTGCCTATGCATGTAGACTGTAAGCTCCATGAAAGCGAGGAACTTTTCAATCCATGAACATGGTATATATACATCTCCATTTATTTAGATCTTTAATGTGTCTTAACAGTACTGTGTTGTTTTCAGTGTAGAAATCTTGTATGTCTCTTGTTAAATTTACTCCAAATTATTTTTTTGATGTTATTGTAAAGGAAATTATTTAAAATCTCAGCTTACAATTGTTTCCTGCTACTATATTAACATAAAATTGATTTTGGTATATTGGTCATGTATCCTGTAATCTTGCTAAATTCACTTATTAGTTTTAGCTATTATTTCGATTCCTTGGAATTTTTTATATAAACAATCACATCACATGCAAATATTGACAGTTTTACTTCTTCAAGTTGATCTTTATGCCCTTTATTTCTTTTTCTTGCCTTATTGCACTAGCTAGGACCTCCAATACAATTTTGATTAGAAATGGTGGGATTGGAAATCCTTGATTTGTTTCCAATCTTAAGGGGAAATCAGGAAATATTTCACAGCTAAGAATGATGCTAGTTGTAGCTTTTTTGTAGATGACCTTTACCAGCTTGAGGGAGTTCAGGTCAGAGAATTTTATCTGTTCACTGATGTATACCAAATAAGTAGCACAATGCTGTCAGAGAGCAAGTGTTCAGTAAACACTAAGTATAAGCTGCATGGCACAGTGGTTTGTCTGACATTGGACTTGTCTAATTAGCTGTGTGATTTAGGGTAACTAATTTAACTGCTCCCTCTTCCTCTGTAAAATGAGGATAGTAGTAGTACATGTTACATAGGATTATTTTGAAGATTTAATGAGAGTATCTATGTAAAGCAAGAACACAGTGTCTGACACATGGTTAGTGCTCAGTAAACATTAACTTATATTACCTCACTTCTCTGAGCCTCATTTTTTTTCCTCTATAAAAGAGGGAAATGTTCTAATCCTTAATTCCTAGGATTACAATGAGAATTAAATGACGTTATTCACATAATGTGCCTGGCACAATTCCTGGCACAGAGAGAGTCATTGGTAAATGTTTGCTATTATTATTTATCAAGTCTCCTACCTATTTTGAATGGGGGAACGTAGAGACCTGTCAATTAAGGACCCAGTCCATTGGAAGCTCACAGCCTGTTGGCAGAGACAGATAACTATAGAAATCGTTATGACACAGTGTATTAAGTGGATATATAGAGCCACGTGTGGACCCAGAATTGGAAGTTGGCTGCTGAAGTTTGACCAGTGAGATCAAGTCCCTCTCCACCCAGGCATAGGTTTAGACCTAAAAGAAAACTACATTAGTTTATAGCAGGGAAAACTGGCTTGGGATCACTTGTGGTACGTCCTTATAATGCATGGGTATCAACCATTAAACTTGATGCTGTATGAGACTGGCGGGGGGCATGGGATGTGAATTACTTTTCATTAGACTGTTTTGTAAATTTTGTATCTTGTACCATGTTCAAAATAAATAACACTTTTAAAATAAAAAAAATGCCGTGGAAAAATATTCAGTGCCACCAGTTAATGTTCACGATTGATTGTTACATGAGAAAAAATTAATTTTTCAAATGGCAAATGTTTTACACTCTCCTACAAAAGAGGCGGGGACAGAAGTACAACAAAATATTAGCATTGGTAAGATTAATGTTGAGTTTTACTTTCTCTTCTGTGCTCTTTGAGATTTCGCAAAGGTTCTACATTAAGCACTACCAGTTTTATTTTTTGTTTTTTGGCCATTAGAAGGAACATTATTTAAAAAAAACTACAAGTCCCGGCAGACATCGCGCCTACGGCTTCCGAAGACCGGCTTTCCTCCCGCGCAATGAACACTGGGATTCGAAGTCCAGCCCTAGAAGCAAGGTGAGACGCGCAGTACCGGCACGGATGACAGAGGAGGGATCACCGCCTTTCGACCAATGGACAGTGCGTAGCGGGCCTGAGTGGCGCGCATACAACCAATAGATGAGCCTTTAAGCCTGAGTGACGTGTGCTTCAGCCTACGGGCGGCCCATGGTGCGGTGCGGTGCGCCGCGGCCGAA